CAATGCTAGGAGTCTCGGCTCCAACATCCCTCACGAATGCCAAATATGAAATGCAAACCTTCCCAACCATACGCTGGGCCTTTAAGAATGAAATCACCCTGCTAGGAACATAGTCAGTCATACCATGCCACTCGATCCTCGGTACACACGGTATAGCCAAAGTGACTGTCTTAGCGTGACAGTCTAGTATAGCACGACACGGCAACAACTAGTCCATGCCCAGAATAACATCAAAATCTACCATGCTCAATAACAACAGATCAATTCGAGTCTCCAGACCCCCAATAGTAACCAAACATGACCGGTGTACATGGTCTACAACGACAGTATCGCCCACCAGGGTAGATACATGAACAGGTAAAGCAAGACACCCTCGGGTCGCACCCAGATGATGAGCAAAATATGAGGACACATAAGAATAGGTGGAACCGGGATCAAATAAGACTGAGGCATCTCTGCGGCAGACTGAAATAACACCTGTAATAACAGCATCCGAAGCAATAGCATCTATCCTACCCTGAAGAGCATAAAAACGAGCTTGACCATCGCCCGATCGACCACCTCCCCTGGGGCGACCCCTGGCTGCCTGACCCTCACCCCTAGCTGGCGAGGCGGGTGCTGAAGAAACTGGACCAGAAGATGAAGGCTGACCCCTCTGCTGAGATGAGCTAGCAACACGATGAGGACACTCCCTTCGCATATGCCCAAACTCTCCACACTCATAGCAACTCCCAGGTGCTGGGGACTGGGACTGAAGGGAACCCCTCGCGCCGGCATGACTAGCTGATGCACTCGGCCTAGAAGAACCCTGAGCAGACGGAGCACGGATGAACTCTATGATGGAAGAGCGCTGAAAGATGGCTGACTCTGCTGAGAACCCTGATAACCACGACCTGAAGATCCTCCTCGGTACTCGGGTCGAGCTGACTGAGCGGGCCTGAAAGAACGACCCCGACCCTGCTGGAACTGGCCCCTCGAAGGAGCGCCACTGTAACTACCAGAACCTTGAGGCCTCTTGGCCTCCCTCTCATCTCGATCGTGACGGCAAACCGCCTCAATCTCTCGGGCTATATCAACCACCTCCTCGAATGTGGCACCCAGCACTCGCTCCCTAGTCATAAGAACTCGAAGAGGGTAGCTGAGACCGTCAACAAACCTCCGGATACGCTCACGATCTGTCGGAACCAGCCAAACTGCATGCCGAGCCAACTCTGAAATTCTTATCTCATACTGGGACACAGTCATATCTCCCTGCCGTAGCCACTCAAACTGTCTGCGCAGCTCCTCCCTGCGAGACTGCGGTACATACTTCTCCAAGAAGAGAGTGGAGAACTCCTGCCAAGTCAAAGGTGCTGCACCAGCCGGTCTACGCCGCTCATACGCCTCCCACCAAGTGAAGGCAGCTCCCGTAAACTGAAAGGTAGTAAAAGCCACACCACTGGACTCAAGAATCCCCGTTGTACGGAGCATCCGCTGACATCTGTCGAGAAAACCCTAGACATCCTCGCCCTCAGCTCCACTAAATGTCGGAGGCTGTAGTCTACCAAACCTCTCGAGGCGACGCTGCTCATCCTCAGGCATAACTGGAACCCTGAACTCCTGTACTGGTGCCACTGGCTGAGCTGGAGGTGCCTCTGGAGTCTGTAATCCCTGTGCTACCTGCTCAGGTGTGCGAGCACCGGGGGTCTGGTTGCTTCCCCCGGCCTGTGAAGTAGCTGCAGGTGCGGTGGTGGCTGAAACCACCTGAGCCAGGCCCGTGCACACTGTCAAGATCTGAGCTAATGTCTCCTGAAGGCCAGGAATCACCATGGGCACGGCCGATGCCTGAGCTGGTACTGCTGGAGCCTGATCCGGAACTGGGGCAACTGGTGGATCAACAGGCGCTGCCCCTGCTGCTCTGCCTCTGCCACGACCACGACCGCGTCCACGGCCTCTGGTGGCCTCAATAGGTGGTACTGGTGGTCGTCTGCCACGTCCGGTAGCTCGTGTGCTCACCATCTGTGAGAGAATAGAATAAGGAGAAGTTTAGTATTCGGATCAACAAGTTCGCACGACAAGAATTTCAAGAATGTCAAATTTTCCTAAAGGTTCTGCAGCCTCTCGAGGATAAGTACAGACGTCTCCATACCGATCCGCGAGACTCTACTAAACCGGCTCATGACTTGCGAGACCTAGTAACCTAGGCTCTGATAACAACTTGTCACGACCCCAACCCCGGTCATGATGGCGCCCAACAGTGCTAGGCAAGCCCGACCAACTCAACATTTTCAATCCCTCATTTAAAGTTCATTACCAATTAACAGGATTCAAATACCAAATTAACATAATTCTAATTCTGTAACGGTAGATAAAATGTGCGGAAATCGAGAAATATCACCACAAAGCCCACCGATCTGGTGTCACGAGTCAAGAGCCTCTAATGAAAGTCTGGGAAAAAAAAAATAGCCTAACAAAAGATAGTCTAAAACGCTGAAAGTAAAGAGGATAGAGGGAGAAATCGGGTCTGCGAACGCTATGCAGCTACCTCGATGACTCCGGTGAGATCTGAATAGTAGCAATAGCTCAATCTACGCCTCCGGAATACCTGTATCTGCACACATGGTGCAGGGAGTAAAGTGAGTACTCCGACTCAGTGAGTAATAGCAATAAATAATGACTGACGGAAAGAAATCTCGTAAAAGCACTAAGAAGTTCTATATCAAAGCAGTAAGGACATTTAAACAGCAACTAAATGAAGAAACCGGGTAAAAATCCATTAAGCCAGTATTCAACTCATTTATTCCTCACGAAAACCAAAATCATAATTATACCGCTGCGGCGCGCAGCCCGACCCATGTAGTATACTGCTGCAGCGTGCAACCTGATCCATATATATATATATATATATATATATATATATATATATACTGCTGCGGCGTGCAGCCCGATCCAATAATAATAGTCGATTACGCTCACTGGGGGTGTGCAGACTCCGGAGGGGCTCCTTCAGCCCAAGCGCTATACTACTGCGGCGTGCAGCCCGATCCAATAATATACTACTGTGGCGTGCAGCCCGATCCCTATAAATATATATACTGTTGCGGCGTGCAGCCCGATCCAATACACATCAACTGCCATCACAATGGGGTTCTCAACCCCTCTCAGTCAATATAAACTTAGCCCCTCGGCATACTAAGATAAGATAGGGACTCCAGCCCACATGTTACTCTCATTTTTGATTTAGCTATTTAGAAGCCAGTTCGTATTTTTGTTTGTGCTACTCTTTGAAATATTTACCTAATATTCTGGCATTATCTGATAACTGAGCGTTGTGCCCAAGGGGCGGAAATTCTGTGCTTATCTGCACTATTTGTTTTGCATTCGTTTGCGTAACTGCTGAAAAAGACATTTCAAAAGAGGTTTAAACTGAGTTAAGATGTTTCTCTAAAGATTTCATAGCTTCACTGTTTTCTAAAAAGGGTTACACTGCTTCTATATAACATGATGATTTGCCATACGTGGTTTCTTGCCGCTCAGTTGTTATTTACCTTTATTACTCACTGAGTTGGAGTATTCACTTTACTCCCTGCACCTCGTGTGCAGATGTAGGTATTTATTCACCCGGTAGCAGGTTTTTGGTTGATCAGAAGCAGAGTCATAGGAGTTAGCGAGGTGACTGCCAGCGTTCGCAGCACCGTTTTTTCTCTCTTTTGTTCATTATTCTGGCTTTGTATATTTTAGGCCTTGTAGTTGGATTTACACTCTAATAGATGTTCGTGACTTGTGACACCCCGGTTTGGGCTGTGTCGGGATGGTTTCCCTTATTGTATTCGCTATTTCCGCACTTTATGGTTATTAAATCATGTTTTAGAACTGTTTATGTTAAGTAACTGCTTAAAAAGGAGTTTTACGATGGTCTGGCTGGCCTTGTCCTCACGAGAGGCGCCATCACGACCGGGTTTGGAAATTGGGTCGTGACAAAATGGTACTCTCCTGCTTCTCTGAGCTTCATTGAAAGACAAACTTATAGGTGCATGATCTGATATGAAGGGTTGTCCATACACAGTAGCTATATGACCCCATTGTATCATCAAGTCATAGTTTCCAAATACCCTATCAATCCTACTCCATATTCTATCTTCACCATCCTATTTATTAGACCAAGTATAGTATTCCCCTCTCCAATTTAATTCATTCAGCTTTAGTTCTTGGATGCAATCAGTAAAATCCTGTATTTCAGCCTGTGTTACTAGATTTCCATGCTTCCTATCTTGCAACTGTAATACAGCATTGAAATCACCTCTAATTATCCAGGGGATGTTTACCATCTGATTTATCTCCTTCAAATTCTCCCATAACTGTTTTCTCTTCTCACCTGTATTATAACCATAAACTACAGATACTGCATATATTCCATCATTGTTAACTTTTGAGATAGTACAGTGAATCACCTGAGCTTCTACTTTTGTCAATTGCACATCATAACAGTTAGGATCCCATAGAATCCATATCCTACCATTAACTGCTGCATTATAGTTATTAATCACTTCCCATCCAGGTGCTATGTAATGACTTATTGTTTTTGCATTTTTCTCCTTTACTCTAGTTTCAATGAACCTTGCCAATTTGATATTTTTGCTTTTCAAATAGTTTCTCATCTCCTTCCTCTTGTACCATTTATTAATACCCCTCACATTCCATATCAACCACTTCATTTAATAATTTCTGCATTCCCCACCTCTATCATGAGGTAGGTTTTTGGTTCCACTAGTAATCGGTGTCCCTCTTTTTGGGCTAACTCTACTAGATTGTGGTCTCAGCATAGGAAAGTTCTCAAAGTTAAAGTCTAATATATTCTTTCCTCTGTCCAATATCTCTTTGTTATTGCTCCCCTTATCCCCAGCAGTCTGATGCAGTATAGCTTGCACTTCTTCTTGTTGCATTCCAGTTTTACCATCTGCAGCTTTGTGTGGTACTCCAATTCTCTTTGCTATTTCACCCATTTTTCCTTCTGCATTGTCCTATTTTTCATCTCTAACATCTTTAGCTATAGGTCCTTTTGTTCTCCATTCATATGTAACCTTCTTTGCTTCCCTTCTTCTTTGTGGTTGTATTACCCTTTGCTCCTTATTTCCTTGATGATTTTGACAGATATGACCAATAGCTTGACATTTATCACAATACACTGGCTTCCACTCATAAGCTATTGTCTGTTGGAATGCTTTCCCTCTAGGATCCATTACCTTGATCTCAGTAGGCAGAGTTTTAGTTACATTTACTTCAATCAGCATCCTTGCATATGATATCCTTGTTTGCTTAGTTGTACACTCGTCAGCAAACAAAGGCTTTCCAATTGCACTTGCAATCTTACTCAATGATCCATTTCCCCAGCAGCTCATTGGTAATTTGGGGAAAATCACCCACAATGGTATATCAGTTAGAAATTCCTTACTGATATCAAATTCTGGAGTCCAAGGTTTGAGAATGATTGGCCTGTTCCTTATAGTATGAGGTCCAGCATAGAAAATTTTGTGCATATCATCCATATTTTGAAATTTTATCACATAATAATCATCCTCGTGAAGAAACAGATCTGGTTCACCAATGTCCAGCCAGTGTTGTGCAATGTATCTTCGCATAACATTATATCCTGGGTTTTCACCCACAATATAAGCAATCAGTGCTGCACTCCACTTCTCCTCTTCTTCCTTCACATCCTGCACCTCAAGCTGCACCACTGCTTGGCCATCTATAATCTGAGGAGGTACATACTTCAAAGCCATTCCATGAGTAGCCACTCTATTTTGTTAAAACATATTTGACCACTTTTTAACCTCTTGACCTCGATCTATGGGTTTTGCCTCTGTATTTCTGTTCTGCTCATCCCTTGATCCCTTAGCTTCCTCACCCTGTGTTTTCAGAGTTTCCTTGTCAGGTTGACCAGTTTTTCCCCTTTCGTTACTATTCCATTGATTTTCCCTTCAGTTCCTTTTTCAAATTCCTTCACTCCTCGTTCCGCCGAGTTGTGAATCTGTATCTCCTTCATCTCTGAGCTAATTACTGGAGCAATTTCCACCTCTCCTTGTTCAGTTGCTACTTGTTTCTCCGCTTTCTGCATGTCCTCTACATCCTTCAATTTATTAGTAGCTAAGTTTCTAATGGTTAAGATCGGCGTCTTTGGTTGCTTTCGTGGTCTTCCTCTTCCCCTTCCTCGCCCTCAAGCCATGGCAGCCACACTCGGCGCACGTTTAGCTAACGTGAGCTGAGAGCATGGTGAAGACGGGTTTTAACTTTGAAAGTGAAGTTTTTATAATAAATTAATCATCTTTGTTAGTTAAGATGATATAATTTTGAATTCAAGTATTCTGTTTATGCAATACCATTAATTTCTAGATTAAAAAAGATTGTCGTATTTTTATCACGTTAATTACTCTATAATGATTATTTCATCTTGTAAATAATTTGTTGATAAATTTAGTTAGTTGTTCTTTCACATATGAGTTTTGACTAAAGATTTACGTGCAACGCACGTACATAATGACTAGTATTATTATAAAAGCATGAATACAATGTCGGTTTACAAAAATAACCTTATAATATTAAGCATAATAACTCATAATAAAAGGACATACCGGAATTTCAGATATTTTCCTTGTAATCCTATTAGTTTTAGGACATAACTACACGTTAGCAATCCTACATGATTAACTTTAGGAATCCTATTAGTATTATTACTTTTCGGCTGTCTAATGTATATAAAATTGAACGAAGTAAATAATTTTTAGTCATGTAGTCCTATTACTTTTGGGATATACTTTTTAAAAATTTCTATTACTAATTTAACTTGAAAACGTATTATAGTATTCTATTACTAATTTAATTTGATAATGTATTATATTATTTAAATTCATTTAGAAAAAAGGAGTGCATATATTATTATAAAAGCATAAATACAATATTAATATACCAAAATAGCCCTAAAGTATTAAACGAAAGAACTTGTAGGGAAAGAGCATAACTGCAATAACTTATTTTGTTGGACTACAATACCTTCTATACTAATTGTTAATATTTAATATTTTAATATTAATAAAAATTATCTATTAGATTCTTATTAAAAATATGTAGGAAGGTTTAACAAAATCAATTTCATTAGAATCCTCCGTATTGGTAATATATTACCACTCCATAATGTCCAATACCAAAAAAAAAAGTTTAAATATACTGCATAAAGAGTTAAAATTGAGGGGGGAAAAATACTCCCACGATAATATATTGTTATATTATATTTGAACTATTTTTCTACTCAAATAATGTTTTTTAATTAATTTTCCGTGTAATATTTAAAAATACCCAATTATTACACAACAACTAAGAAAATATTTAAGAATATAAATGTGTGAGAAAGAGAAAAAAAAAATGGTTGGTAAGAATCACTATCACTAATGATTCTACAGACATAAAAATCTAAAAGTAAATCTCATATCAATCTTTTACTCTTTGAAAATAAAATTTATGGTGGATAACATTATAACTAAGATTAAATATTCAAAATAAGAGATGAACTAATATTAAGATCTAAATCAACATAGAATAAATTAATTTTTATGTTAAAATCAAATAACTAAATCTTTGAATTAATTATTTATGTGACAACCCGGCTTGTTGTCACGTGAGTTACCGCCCCGTTTCCCCCATTTTCTGACTCCTCATATTTTATTATAAGAGTCTTGAGTGAACGAGTCGATTTGGATTGGTTTTGGATGGAAATGAGACACATAGTCTCTTTAAGGAAGGTTTGTATTGGAAAAAGTCAACCGGATGTTGACTTGTGAGTTAGAGGGCTTGGATGTGATTTCCGGTGATTTGGTTAGCTTCGGGGGATGATTTGTGACTTAGGAGTGTGATCGGAATTGGTTTTGGAGGTCCGGTGTAGAATTAGGCTTGAATTGGCGAAGTTAGTAACTTGGCGAATTCCGGCTGATGGGTGAGATTTTGATCCGAGGGTCGGAATGGAATTCCGAGAGCTGCTGTAGCTTCGTTAGGCGATTTTGGATGTGTGTGCAAAATTTCAGATCCTTCGGAGGTGTTTTGGTTGGGTTTTTGATCGAATGCGAGTTTCGGAAGATTTGGAAAAACTTAGGCTTGAATTTGATGTAATTAATGGTTTAGGTGTTATTTGTGGTGTTTTGATGATTCGGCGAGTTTGAATAAGGTGTTGGTTCATGTTTGTGCTTTTGGTTGAGGTCCCAGGGGCCTCGGGGTGATTTCGGATGGCTATCAGGATGAATTTTGGACTTATGAGACTGCTGGTATGTCTGGTTTCTGGTATTTCCGCATCTGCGGAAAGGGAGCCGCAGATGCAGTTGCGCAGGTGCGGAAGGAGGGTCGCAGGTGCGGTCACTTGGCTTGAATGGAAGATAGCGCAGATGCGGAATGGGAGCCGCATCTGCGAGACCGCAGATGCGGTAGATTGGTCGCAGAAGCGAAGTGGCGTGGCCTTGGAATTTCCGTAGGAGCGGACAGGTATTCGGAGAAGCGGAATTCGCAAATGCGGAGAGTGGACCGCAGAAGCGGTCGTGGAGTTAAATGAAGATCCACAGAAGCGGGAGTATAACCGCAGAAGCGGTGGCCGGAAATGCGGTAAAGGAACCGCAGATGCGAAAATCTCTGTTCACAGAAGGGTTTTAAAGCTCATTTTGTTCCGCGAGCTTAAGTCCATTTCCACCATTTTTGATCGACCTTGAGAGCTCTTGGACGGAATTTGAAGGGGATTTTGACTAGGTGTGATTGGAGGTGAGTTCCTTGGCCTAAATACATGAATTTATGGTAGAATTAAGGAAATTTGTGGAAATTCATCAAAAGAAGGTAAAGCTAGGGCTTGGGAATTTGATATTTCAAAATGGAATTTGAGGGGTCAAATGGACTCCGATTTTGGTAAATTTGATATGTGTAGACTCGTGGTGAGATAAGGAATCTGGTGATGTTAATTTTCTGATTTTTTGAGAAGTGGGCCCGGGGCTCGGGTTTTGCCAACTTCGTGAATTTCGATGTTTTTCGAGTCTTTTCGATTGGGTTATACTCCCTTAGCCTATTGTAACGTCGTTTTGGCCAGATTCGACGCGCGAGGAAGTTGATTTGCGAGGCAAGGGCATAGCGAGCTTGGACTTTGGCCAGCTTGAGGTGAGTAATGGTTATAAATGATGTCCTGAGGGTTTGAAACCCCAGATTTGCACACGTAGTGCTATGTTGAGGTGAGACACACGCAGCATGATGAGCGTGGGGTCCATTACTGCTGGGGATTTGGACTTGGTCCATCCCGATTGATGATTCTATTGTATTTTTACTGAGACTTAATTAATATAATTATAGTTTGAGCTAGTTGCCATGTTTGGGGTCTTGTGCCAACCTGTAGAACCCTTAGGGGCATTTGTGCTGATTAACCTCACTTTACTTGGTAAAAATCATACCCTTAGTCATGTTTCTATTCCTCGATCCTCTTCTCGTAATCGAGGGCCCGCTTCAACTCGGCTTGGGCATCAGCAGCGTCCTTCATACGAATCGCCATCTCCTGATCAGCCTTGGTTCGACTTAATGCTGCTTCAACCCGCGCATTGATTATCTCAGCCCTGATCTTCGAGAGATCAGACTCAAGCTTCCCGATCATATCCTCTTGGACCGTAGCATTGTCACCAGACAAGTGGAGTTGGGCCTCGAAGGCGGGAACCTTGGCCAAGGCGCCCCTCTCCTCTAAAGCTTGAGCCTGCGCCTGAGCCCTCAATTCGCCACAAGCATTCCTGGCGCAGTCGGGTTCGCCCTTAAGGTAATCCCAGGCCTCCGTCTTTTTCTGCTAAGATAGGCAAGAGGGTTAACCATAAGGGTTAAAGAGAGCAAAGCATATACTACGGAAGGATACCTGCTCCATCAAATAGATCTTGTAATTCGAGCTCCGACGCACCTCATATCGCTAGTGCATCAACTCAACCTCCTTCTCCTTGCTAAGAAGCCTAAGGGACTCGCCCTCGTCCAGAGCTTTACGAAGCTTGGCCCCATGACGGAGCAGCTCATACCTAAGCCTACCAAAGGCCTGCAAAAGAACAACTCAATAAAGAAAGGAAGATGTAAAACGCAGAAGGACTACGCCGAGACTCACCATAAAGTGAAGCCGGCGAACTTCCTCGAAGGTAGAGCACACTCCTGTTGATCCTGCCTCTTCGGCCCAGGAGAACCAACCTCGGGCAAAGCATATTCACTCGGAGGAACCACCGCCCCGGAATCAAACACTTCGAGAACATCAGGCTCGGGCGATGTTCTCTCCTCGAAGACGCGGGCCCGTTGAGCCCCATTAAGAGCTCCACCACACTGTGGATGCAAATCCCATTTATCGCCATCGTCCCTCAGCTCGGAGGCCGACGACTCCTTCCACCCTCCGGAAGAACACTGCCACGCCCCAAGGGACCGCTCGATACCTACAACGGCAAAACCGGTACAAAAGAAAGAGGAAAATATCATCTTAAATACATGAAGGCCAAGGTAGGAGTAGCCTACGCGCATACCTGGGTATTTCTGTTCCCATCTGCCACGGGACACAGCTTGCCACCTACGCCCGTCGCAATTCGAATGGGTCGCCAACCTTCGGACCCAACCAGGCAAATCGGGAACTTCACCTGGCGACCATGAAGTTGCTGTAGGAAAGAAGGAAACACAATTACTAGGATGGCTTTCGCTATAAGCGAATCAAAGAAAGCTCGAGACACTTCACTCACGTGCATGATTCCATCCC